TGCATTACTAAGGCTGTCATTGTCAACATCCACATGAATATTAAAATCACCTACAATAATTACTTTATCTGATTTAAGGACTAAACTTGATAAAAACTCTGAGAATTCAGATATAAAATCAGAGTACCGTCCAGGAGCGCGGTACACTATAACAAATAGAACTGGCTGCAGTGTTTTCCAGTTTTGGTGAGAAAGACTAAGAACAAGGCTTTCAAATGAATTATAATTTAGTTTAGGTTTAGGGTCCATTAAAACGCTCGAATCATATATAGCTGCTACTCCACCTCCTCGGCCTGTGCCTCGAGGAATGTGAGTATTAATATGACTGGGGGGGGTGGATTCATTTAGGCTAACATACTCCTCGTGGGACAACCAGGTCTCAGTAAGACTAAGTAAATCAATATCATAATCTGATATTAATTCATTCACTAGAACAGCTTTAGAGGACAGAGACCTGATATTTAACAGCCCACATTTCATTCTCTTATTTTGTGCTACTGAGGAGTTGGTTTTAATTTTTATTAGATTTTTATGCAGCCATATTCTGTTTGTTTGACATTAATGGCCAAAATGTGTACTTTGAATTTATTTATAATATCCATAGGTATGTTTTCATTAGTGTATAATCACCTGAAAATAAGAACTGTTGTGTTTTTGTTACCTTAGAATGAGATGCTTTTATCTATGGAGGAAGCGGGAGTCCACCATGTTAAACTGCCATATTTCTACAGTAGCCCAGAACGGACAAACCAAACACTGGATGGAGGTGTGTTTTTCAGCCGCCGTGGTTTTCCTTCTTGCTAGGGCAGGGTGATATAATGGAGCTGTGATCTGCAACTGCACCACTAGATAGCAACAAATCATCACACTAGAGCTTTACATGAAAAAGTGATTGGATTTTGATAAAAATAATTAATTCATTTCTTGGCATACATTGTTAAATAGAGATACAATAAGACTGTATGTGAACTTAAAGGGTTAAAAAGACCCTTTCCATTTTATCTGAACTTTCATGGCGGTGCATTAAGATGCATTAATCTGTCCTTTTTGTTTTTCAGTTTTAGTTTGAGTTTCTGTATGGATGTGTGTTTCCTATATGAGGACAAAAAAGTCAGTTCAAATAAAGTCAAACAGCTTTTAATGTTTTATTCACAAAGAAGCCTTCACAAATTAGTCAGCACACACACACACACAGAATCATAAAATTGACACAGATTGAAATCAGTATGAATCAATCATTCAATCAGTGGTGTATTGGTAATGAGGAGTAATTAAATCATCCATCGATACAAATACATGTTTAAAGTGTTTATTCATTCACTTGTTAAATAAAGTACATAGTGAGTTTTAACTGAGTGAAAAGAGGATAAAAAACTGTTAAATACCAAATGTTTATAACACTTAACTAGTGATTAAACTGAATCTATCATCTGAACTAACATATGTTTGTTTCATTATTATAGATAAATTATTGATCAATCTGTCATTGTTCCCATCTCAACAAGTCAAACAACGACAAATCAGTAAAAAATCTGAAAAATCTTCATTATTAAATATAAACCAATAAATAAAGGAAATGCTAATAAACAAGACCACATTTTCACTTTCAGATAAATCCTGAGGAAAGATATTCATGTTTCAAGCCTTCTTGGTGTGGATTATACTTTTTTATACAGTCATTTACTTTAAATGATATACATTAATTAATCTGATTATTGATTTATCTATGTCTAATCAGTCAGGTTTGTAAATACACTCATGTTGTTAAAGACGCCATCAGAAAGCTCGCAGAGAACAGTATCTTTCTAGCACCAGACAGGAAGCAGAGAATCTGTAGTTACTATGGTAACAGCTCCATCACACACATAACAGACAGTTAAATGTATCCCTGGGGCCAGAGCGGGCGACATTGAATCATATTTAAAACTGCTGACTAAAGATAATCGTAAATACAGTAAGATTGTTATCCACGTCGGTGGTAATGACACCCGTTTACGTCAATCGGAGGTCACCAAAATTAATGTGGACTCGGTGTGTAATTATGGTAAAACTATGTCGGAGTCTGTAGTTTTCTCTGGACCCCTGCCCAATGTGACCAGTGATGACATGTATAGCCGCATGTCGTCATTCCACCGCTGGCTGTCGAGGTGGTGTCCAGCAAACGATGTGGGCTTCATTGATAACTGGAAGCCTTTTTGGGGAAAACCTGGTCTGATTAGGAGAGACAGCATCCATCGCACTTTGGATGGAGCGGCTCTCTTATCTAGAAATATGGCAAAGTTTATTTCTAAAACCTGACAGTCCAGAGTTGGGACCAGGAAGCAGAGCTGCTGTCTTACACACTTCTTTGCGCTTTCTTTAGAACAGTCACCCACCCCAAACCCCATAGAGACTGTGTCTGTCCCCCAACCACCTAAATCATTTAAAGAAATAAAAACAAGAGGAGTTCAACATAAAAACCTAATAAAAATTAAAACTAACTCCTCAGTAGCACAAAATAGGAGAATGAAATATGGACTGTTAAATATCAGGTCTCTGTCCTCTAAAGCTGTTCCAGTGAATGAATTAATATCAGATTATGATATTGATTTACTTTGTCTTACTGAGACCTGGTTGTCCCATGAGGAGTATGTTGGCCTAAATGAATCCACCCCCCCCCAGTCATATTAATACTCACATTTCTCGAGGCACTGGCCAAGGAAGTGGAGTAGCAGCCATATATGATTCGAGCGTTTTAATGGACCCTAAACCTAAACTAAATTATAATTAATTTGAAAACCTTGTTCTTAGTCTTTCTCACCCATCCTGGAAAACACTGCAGCCAGTTCTACTTGTTATAGTGTACCGCGCTCCTGGACCGTACTCTGATTTTATATCTGAATTCTCAGAGTTTCTATCAAGTTTAGTCCTTAAATCAGATGAAGTAATTATTGTGTAAATAAACCAATTCATTGTTTTAATCACACTCATGACCTTGTTCTATCATATAGCATTGATATTGAACATTTAATAGTCTTCCCACATAATCCTTTCCTATCTGACCATTATTTAATAACTTTTGAATTCATATTATTAGATTATAAACCATTAGGCAAAACGTCCTACAGCAGATGTCTATCTGACAGTGCTGTAGCTAAATTTAAGGAGGAGATTCCATCAGTGTTCAATTCAATGCCATGTCTGAATTTAACAGAGTCCTATAATAACTTTAGTCCCTCTGAAATTGATAATCTTTTTAATAGTGCTGCAGGCTCACTATGAAGAACATTAGATTCTATTGCTCTATAAAAAGGAAATTATTAAAACATAGGTGATTAGCACCTTGGTATAACCACCAAACCCGCCAGTTAAAGCAAATAGCTAGGAAATCTAAAAGGAAATGGCGCTCTTCCAAATGATGAGAATATCGCTCAATTTGGCAAGATAATCTTAAAACATATAGAAATTATTATTATAATTATTATTCAGCACTAATAGTAGAAAATAAGAACAACCCTAGGTTCCTCTTCAGCACTGTAGCCAGGCTGACAGAGAGCCACAGCTCTATTGAGCCACATATTCCCATAAACTTAGGTGGCAATGACTTCATGAGCTTCTTTTATAATAAAATTATTACTATTAGAGAGAAAATTAATCACCAACTGCCATCAACAGTTATCAGTAGCTCTCCAAGTTCAGGAACTTTAAGTAATGTAAACTCAGATATATATTTAGACTGTTTTTCTGCTATCGATCTTCATCAGTTAACTTCAGTAATTTCTACATCGAAGCCATCAACCTGTCTGTTAGACCCAATCCCAACTAGGCTGCTTAAAGAAGTCGTACCCTTAATTGGCACTTCTTTACTGGATATGATTAATCTTTCTTTATTATCAGGATATGTACCATAGTCCTTTAAAGTAGCTGTGATTAAACCCCTTCTTAAAAAGCCCACTCTTGACCCAGGGGTTTTAGCCAATTATAGACGGATTTCTTCCTCTCTAAGATTCTGGAGAAAGAGTTGTGTGACTTTTTACATAACAATAGTTTAATTGAGGATTTTCAGTCAGGATTTAGAGTTCATCACAGCACAGAGACAGCTCTGCTTAAAGTTAATAATGACCTTCTGATTGCTTCCGACAATGGACTTGTCTCTGTACTTGTATTATTAGATCTTAGTGCTGCATTTGACACCATTGACCATAATATTCTTTTACAGAGACTTGAGCATCAAATTGGCATTAAAGGAACCGCACTAAGCTGGTTAAAGTCATATTTATCAGATTGTTCGCAGTTTGTACATGTTAATGATGAATCTTCAATAAATACTACAGTTAGTCATGGAGTTCCACAAGTTTCTGTACTTGGACCAATACTATTTACTTTATATATGCTCCCTTTAGGCAACATTATTAGGAATCACTCCATTAACTTTCACTGTTATGCAGATGATACGCAGTTATATCTATTGATCAAGCCCGATGAAATTAATCAATGACTAAATTACAAACATGTCTTCAGGACATAAAATCCTGGATGAGCTGCAATTTTCTGATGTTAAACTCAGAAAAAAAATAAATTCTTGTACTTGGCCCCAAAAATCTTAGAGACTCACTGTCTAAAGATATAGTTACTCTAGATGGCATTACCTTGGCCTCTAGCACCACTGTCAGGAATCTTGCAGTTATCTTTGATCAGGATTTGTCATTTAATTCCCACATAAAGCAGACCTCTAGGACTGCCTTCTTTCATTTACGTAATATTACAAAAATTAGACACATCCTATCACAGACAGATGCAGAAAAACTAATCCATGCATTTGTTACTTCTAGGCTGGATTACTGCAACTGTTTATTATCAGGTTGCCACAATAAGTCCATTAAAATGCTCCAATTAATTCAAAACTCTGCAGCACGAGTACTGACAGGAACTAGGAAAAAAGATCACATCTCTCCTGTACTAGCTTTTCTGCACTGGCTCCCTGTAAAATTTAGAATAGAATTTAAAATTCTGCTCCTCACCTATAAAGCTCTTCATGGTCAGGCCCCTTCATATTTTGAAGAGCTCATAGTACCCTATTACCCCACTAGAACACTACGTTCTCTGAATGCTGGGCTACTTGTGGTTCCTATAGTCTCTAAAAGTAGAACAGGAGCCAGAGCCTTCAGTTACCAAGCTCCTCTCCTGTGGAACCAGCTTCCAGTTGTGGTTCGGGAGGCAGACACCCTCACCACATGCAAGAGTAGGATTAAGACTGTAGAAAAAACAATATAAACTGAATTCAACTATAATTATACTGCAGCTACTTAGCATCATTGACCATTAATGAAAATAAAATAAAACGTATTTATGTGGAACACGTTTTTCAAAATTCTAATAAACTATTTTTAAAAATATCAGACTATCTGAAAAAGGGGCAAACTTTTCTGAAACATAAATCTGTTTTTTTCTGTTCGTCCACAATCAGATGAGTGCAGGCGGTCCACAGGTAGAGTCAGCATCCAATCACATGATGTCCTCTTGTCATATGATCTACATTTCCACTAGAATCTGCTCCTGCCCCTCATTTCCATTGGAAGAAATCTCTCTGTCAAACCCCTCCTGTCCTTCATATGTTGGTGGTGGAGTGTGTGGAGGAGAAGTTCTCCATGCGGAAACGGACCACCTTGCCGGGGGGCGGTGGGTACAAGAAGTGGCACGTGAAGACCTGGCGGCAGGCCTTGCGGAAGTTCTCAGACAGAAAGGCGTAGAGGACTGGGTTGATGCAGGAGTTCCCGTAAGAGAAGACGTGGGAGACAATGCGAAAGGCGAATGAGGCGTTGTTCAGGGGAAAGGTGCCAAACTCCACCCACATGGCAATGATGTGGTGAGGCATCCAGCAGATGGTGAAGGCGGTGACGACCAGTAGAACCGTCTGAGCCGTCTGCGAGACAACAAGAAAGGAAACATCAGTCTGAATACAGGTAGTTTTGTAATTTGTGAGTACCAGACTGCTGTTTTAGGTCAATAGAAGTAGATTATCACTGCCCAGATACTCCAAAAAAACGCAACATAATAATGTATAGTATAGATATAGAATATGTATAGTATACATATATAGCATATGTATAGTATACATATATATAGGATATGTATAGTATAGTATATTCGCCAAACAGTTGTGTGACTTTCTACAGAGCAAAAACTTATTTGAGGATTTTCAGTCGGGATTTAGAGTTCATCACAGAAAAAAAAAAGTCTGAAGTCTTTAAAAAGTTTTGACTTTTCAATAAGATTCTTTTTTTATAAAATGTCTCATGTCTGTAAAATGTCCCCATGTTTCCTCTCTTTGTAAAATGAGGTTTGAATTAAGCCATGAGACAGACAGACAGATGGACAGATGCAGGTTGAAGTGTCGGTGGATCTGTGAGCTGATGGATGATGAGAGATGACTCAGAGAAAGGGGGATGGAAGGTGAACCAGAGTCTGTCCACTTATCATCTACAAACAGAGAACACTAAAAATAAAATGTTCCTGAGGGACAGCACTCAAAAGCCTGAAAGATGAAACCTTCAGTGGAACCGGTCGCTCTGGTCTGCAAGTTCAGATTTTAACATCCAGAGTCATCCTGAACAACCGTCCTGTTTCACGTATTCACACGGGTCAGAGGAGATTGTTTGTCGAGGACCAATACTATTTACTTTATATATGCTCCCTTAAGGCAACATTATTTGGAATCACTCCATTAACTTTCACTGTTATGCAGATGATACGCAGTTATATCTACCGATCAAGCCCGATGAAATTAATCAATTATCTAAATTACAAACATGTCTTAAGGACATAAAATCCTGGATGAGCTGCAATTTTCTGATGTTAAACTCAGAAAAAAACGAAATTCTTGTTCTTGGCCCCAAAAACCGTAGAGACTCACTGTCTAAAGATATAGTTACTCTAGATGGCATTAACTTGGCCTCTAGCACCACTGTCAGGAATCTTGGAGTTATCTTTGATCAGGATTTGTCATTAAACTCCCACATAAAGCAAACCTCTAGGACTGCCTTCTTTCATTTACGTAATATTACAAAAATTAGACACATCCTATCACAGACAGATGCAGAAAAACTAATCTATGCATTTGTTACGTCGAGGCTGGATTACTGCAACTCTTTATTATCAGGTTGCCCCAGTAAGTCCATTAAAACGCTCCAATTAATTCAGAACGCTGCAGCACGAGCAATGACAGGAACTAGAAAAAGAGATCACATCTCTCCTGTACTAGCTTCTCTGCACAGGCTCTCTACTGTTGTTGCTGTTGTCACTGCTCATTGTCCCCCATCGTTGCTGTTGTCATGTTCATCATCATCAGTCACTACTGTTAGTATAGTTGTTGCTACTGTTGTTGCTGTGCACCTGTCTGTCTGTCTGTCTCTCTCTCTCTCTCTCTCTCTCTCTCTCTCTCTCTCTCTCTTTCACCCCAACTGGTCGAGACAGACAACCACCCACCTAGAGCCAAAGGATCTGTCCTAGGTTTCTGCCTTTTAACAGGCAGTTTTTCCTTGCCCTTGTCGCCAAGTGCTTGCTCATGGTGGTACTGTTGGTCTCTGTAAATAATGTTATAAGGAGTTCAGTCTACACCTGCTGTATTTGGAAAGTGTCCTGATATAACTTCTGTTATGAATTGGCGCTATACAAATAAAATTGAATTGAATTGAATTGAATGTACGTAGTGGGGGGTTGATGGTTATCCTCTAAGAACACTCTGTGTTTTCAATAAAAAAATATGCAATTTCACACCATTTGGGAGCATTATTATTACCATATCAGTGACCAAAAGCTACAGCAGGAAATCAAAGGACACCCAAAATGCTTAAAGAAAAAATTTTGCAAAAGCAGTCCACTGACGACCAACTACAGCTGTTAGATCACAGATATTAGTTGGCTCTCCACAGTGATTTTACTTTTAATTGACTCATAATGGAGGAAAACCCGTTAAAAAGACCTCAGAGTCATTATAGGTTATTCATGTTTGGTTTGTCAGGTTCACTTCATTTATAAATTGTATATGTAGAAAATATCAAAGATTAAAATCACAGAGAATGACTTCGATGTTCTATATGTAGTTGATTCAATCAATAATCAGAAGCTGTCATACAATGACTGTTTACCATCCACTGTTTAGATCTTGGTGCTTTTTAACTCTAGATTTGAACCGGATGAGGGATTTTAGTCATCGGACGTCTGGATCTTAAGTTATGGTGGTACTGTTGGGTCTCTGTAAATAATGTTATAAAGAGTTCGGTCTAGACCTGCTCTATTTGAAAAGTGTCCTGAGATAACTTCTGTTATGAATTGGCGCTATACAAATAAAATTGAATTGAATTGAATTGGATCTTAACTTATCAGAGGAACAAGCTGAGCTAACGTCAGCATTAGCTCGGCTTGCAGCCCCTCCGGGACGTCCTTTGTCTGTCCAACAGAGTGGGAGAAGCAGTGATTGTTAAGGTGGAACTGCTTTATTCAGTGTGTTTAGTGGTTCTAATCAGCGGGTCTGTTTGTTCTGGAGAGGAGGAGACCTCTGTGGATAATTGGGCTCCTGGTAGAAACCTCCTGAACCATGAACGCTGAAGGAATCCTAACCGGGAGAAGCTGACTGCAATGACGGTAATGGTGGTGAAGACAACAACTCCCATGATCCCACACTGCTTCACCACCTCATCACACTTTACATTTTCTTACTGTTTGCATGTGAGAAACCCCCTAGTGGCAGAAATCACAGACTGTAGGTTTAAGAGTGTCAGATAAAAGGCAGCAACAGATGACGGTTGTAAAAACACTGAATGCTGTTATAAAGTGGTACTTCCTGATGTCAGCGTAATGAAACAGCTTTTTGATTGAACTCAAGGGTTAATGTTGACTTTGGACTTCATTTGTTTTATGTGATTTGAAGGTTTAATAAAGAACAACCATAAACCCTTCCAAGTGATTTACTGTTTACTGGTTATCAGCAGAATATGAATGGAACAAACATCAATGTTATAAATATGAAAGTGTGTGTTTGTGCTCTGAATGAACTTTAATGTCTTTGTTTCACAGTCTAAGGGAATCTCCTCTATTCTTAGTCCTACTGTCTAAATATTTACCCAGCAGTCTTTGTTCCTTCTCCACTGACCCGAGCAGCAGCAGATACTATGCTGTAAACTGTCTGCTGCTAACTGATCTGTGATCTGCTGCTGAGGACGTCTGCACACTGTCTGCTGTCAACCCCGGTGGCTTCTCCAGCTCTTCCTGTCTCTCTTTAATCTGGACCTCACCTGGCCGTTCACACCTGGCAAACTAATCTGCTAGCCTGTTTGGCTGCCAGTGGATGTGATCATGTTGTTTTTATTGAAAATGCCCAGTGGACACTATCCGGGTGCCCAAAAGTGTCTAAATATATATCTGATTTTACATTAGTTAAAGTTCCTGAACTTGGAGAGACAGTGATACCTGTTGAGGGCATTTGGTGATTAATTCAGAACGCTGCAGCACGAGTACTGACAGAAACTAGGAAAAGAGATCACATCTCTCCTGTACTAGCTTCTCTGCACTGGCATTTTTTTAAATCTTCCTCCTCATCTACAAAGCTCTTCATGGTCAGGCCCCTTCATATCTTAAAGAGCTCATAGCACCCTATTACCCCTCTAGAACACTGCGTTCTCTGAATGAAGGGCTACTTCAATTCAATTCAATTCAATTTTATTTGTATAGCGCCAATTCATAACAGATGTTATCTCAGGACACTTATCAAATAGAGCAGGTCTAGACCGAACTCTTTATAACATTATTTACTGAGACCCAACAGTACCACCATGAGCAAGCACTTGGCGACAAGGGCAAGGAAAAACTGCCTGTTAAAAGGCAGAAACCTAGGACAGATCCTTTGGCTCTAGGTGGGTGGTCGTCTGTCTCGACCAGTTGGGGTGAGAGAAAGAGAGAGACAGGGAGAGAGAGAGAGAGAGAGAGAGAGACAGACAGACAGACAGACAGACAGGTGCACAGTAACAACAGTATTGGCAATGGCAATCTAGCAGGACCATGGCAGGAGGCTCCACCAGGATCGATAAGAACCTGCGAGACGAGAAAGCACAAGAACTCCGGGAAGAAGTGAAGTTAGTAACATGCATTAATGGAACATGAATGAGTGCAGAAAGAGAGAGGAAGAGAGGAGCTCAGTGCACCATGGGAAATCCCCCGATAGTCTAGGTCTATAGCAGCATAACTAAGGGATGGTTCAGGACTCACCTGATCCAGCCCTAACTATAAGCTTTATCAAAGAGGAATGTCTTAAGCCTACTCTTGAATGTGGTGAGGGTGTCTGCCTCCCGAACCACAACTGGAAGCTGGTTCCACAGGAGAGGAGCTTGGGAACTGAAGGCTCTGGCTCCTGTTCTACTTTTAGAGACTATAGGAACCACAAGTAGCCCAGCATTCAGAGAACGTAGTGTTCTAGTGGGGTAATAGGGTACTATGAGCTCTTTAAGATATGAAGGGTCCAGTTGTGGTTCTGGAGGCAGACACCCTCTCCACATTTAAGAGTAGGTTTAAGACGTTCCTCTTTGATAAAGCTTATAGTTAGGGCTGGATCAGGGGAGTCCTGAACCATCCCTTAGTTATGCTGCTATAGGCCTAGACTATCAGGGGATTTCCCATGGTGCACTGAGCTCCTCTCTTCCTATCTCTCTCTTTCTGCACACATTCATGTCCCAATAATGCATGTTACTAACTTCTCTTCTTCCCCGGAGTTCTTGTGTTTTCTCGTCTCGCAGGTTTTCATGGATCCTGGTGGAGCCTCCTGCCATGGTCCTGCTTGACTCCCACTGCTAATATTACTGATATTATTGTTGGTCAACTGGTCGAGGCAGACGACCACCCACCTAGAGCCGGGGTCTGTCCGTGGTTTCTGCCTCTTAAAAGGAAGTTTTTCCTTGCCACTGTCGCCAGGGTCTTGTTCATGGTGGTACTGTTGGGTCTCTGTAAATGTTTTAAGGAGTTCGGTCTAGACCTGCTCTATTTGAAAAGTGTCCTGAGATAAACTTTGTTATGAATCAGCGCTATAGAAATAAAACTGAATCGAATTGAATTACTATGTGTATTTCTATCTATCTGTATTTTTAAAAAGGTTAAAAAAATACAATACAACAAACTGAATAAATCAACAGATATGGTAATAATAATGATGTTATTGATTATTATTATTATTATTTCATTTGGCACCAAACTATGATTCAGAGCACAGAAGATGGAGCAGTGACATTTCAACAACAGAAGAAGATGATACAGGAAACAGACTTGCTGTCACCCTCTCAGGAAACTGATTCAAAACAGCAATAAAAGTTTTAATCATCATCATCATCATCATCATCATCATCATGACTGATGTTCTTCATCGTCAGTGCTGACAGCTGCCAGCTGACTGGCTGTGAAGGGTGGGGATGTTTCCTGTCAGCTGCAGCTGTTTAATCAATAACTCTATCAGTCTGATTAATCAGCAGGATACTAAAGCCCACTGCCGGTCTACACCTTCATCATCAGTATCATCATCTGCTTCCGAACATGTTTTTAATGGAGGAGAAATGTACAGCCCTCATTCTGTATGAAGTTTATTTCAAGGAAAGATGTTTATATGTTTATAATGTAGATATGTTTAATATATAACAAAGACTATAATTTCTTCAATTTACAGATCTACAGCTGCTGCTTCCACTCTGAAACCCCTAAGACATCTGAACTGACACAAAAGTGTGATTCTTACTATTCATCTAACATCTGAACTTTAGGACCCTGTGGATGACGAGGAGGAAGAGGAGGAAGAGGAGGACTGTACCTTTCTTTTGGAGCGCTCAGACTTCTTGGACATGTTCTTCATTTTTTTATGAAGATGAAATAAAACCTGGAAGGAAAAACAAACAGTGTGAATAAGAACAGTAACAGTCAGACTGTGGCGGTTGTGTATTTGTGACAAAAAGCGACACAGGGGTCCCAGAGGTCACAGGGGTCACAGGGGTCACAGAGGTCACAGGGGTCAGACAGACTGCACTCTATTTAGACTGAAGCACGTAATGTAGAACCAAAGTGCGAGTCTGGCCCAGATGCCATTAGCAACTTGTGCTGAGGTTAGCAAAACAAGCTCCTCCTCGCCCTCCACTGCCGGTTACCGCTTTCAGAGTGGCCAGAACCTCGGAGCTAGCAGCGACACACTGAAAGCCTTCATTAGTGCCAACATTCAAGCTTACCTCAACATTTCTGTCAGAAGGTGAGAGGAAGAGAACGATAAGACACATTTACTGGTTTAAGTTTATTACCAGTACCGACTATTAGGCTACTTATAACATATGGCCTATTAATTCTGCTGTAATGTAGTTTCCATGACAACCACAGTAAAAATCAACATGGGAAGGAAAATGAAGCATCAGTCTCATTTCATGTGGCAGATGTTCCCAGGGAACCCCGGTGTCCACACTTTTTATCATCACACTTAACAACAGTAACAGTTGTAACCTGTAATTACTGAGCACTAATTTATTAATGAAGAGTCAACTTTGGTCCTCCATAGGAGAGAAACAACTAAACATTTATAAATGGACTGTTTGTCTTCATCAGATGTTTAAAAAGTGGAAAAAGAAAATTGTTCAACAAAAATGATCATTCACACTAATCATGAATCATATCTGTAAAAATGGTATGATTGATTATTATCTAATACAACGTAACACGGCCTTTCAAGTTTAATCTGAACTGTCTTTTATTTTGAAAGTCCACCCCGGTGTTGTCCGGGCTGCTGTCCGCGCGCGCTGCGCTGCTTTTTACGCACGGTCTTTACAACCATCAGGACTTTGTGCGCGCCCTTTGGCCCCTGCGCTGTGTTATTAATGAGCGTTTTACAGCCAGTCAAACATTAAATGAGCTGTTTTTTTGAACTGACCCTGGTGTAGCAGCAGCTGATGAGCAGCAGCGGCAGCAGGAACCCGATCAGCAGGAAGGTCACCCTGTACAACGGTCTGGACGCTCCGGACCACTGCTCCCAGCAGAAGGTGCTGTTGGGGGCGCTGGGGTGGCTGGTGAGAACCTGGTGCTGGGCCACCGGCACCGAGCACAGCAAAGACAGCATCCAGATGATGCACACCCCGGCCAGCGCATTCCGGCGGCTCCGGACGCACGGAGACTTCCCGGAGCGCACCACTGCGATGTAGCGGTCCGCGGACATGGCGACCAGTGTGAAGATGCTGACCAGCATGCTGGCGCTGGAGAAGAAGTGTCCGAACTTACATAGGAAGCCTCCGAACACCCACTCCGGCAGAGAGTAGATGGTGGCGTGGAACGGGACGCAGAAGAGGAGGAAGAGGAGGTCCGCCACGCTCAGGTTCAGGATGAAGATGTTGGTCGGGCTGCCGGAGCGCGTCCTTCCTCCTCTCCCACCGCCGCCCCCTGCACCGCGGTACCTCACCCTCCCGATCACCACCATCACCAGAGAGTTCCCCACCACCCCCACCACGAAGATCAGCCCGAACACCACCGGCACAACCACCGCCTCCGGCCCGGCTCCGGACCTGCCGTCCTCCGCCTCGGAGCGGTTGAACTCTGGGAGCGCAGCCCAGCCGGAGGACTCGTTTCCCATCAGCAGCATATTGAAGCTCCGCGGGGGGAGCCGGACTGTTAGAGCACAAACAGCAGCTCCATGATCCGGATCACACACGACCAGCAGCGGAGTCCACAGACTGCTGGAGACATGGCAAGTTCCCGGGAATATGTTGTTTCCTGTCGTCGGGTTTCACAATAAAAGCACATTAATGATAGTCAGGAATAATCAGGGGCGGATCTAGAGGGGACCCCCCACCAACCCAGTCCAACAACCCAGCAGCGGTTAGCTGACTATATTCTATAGTATGTACTATAAAATCCGGTTTCACCAAAATCAGCCATAAAGTAGTTTTTTTGTACATTGGTGGACGAATCCACGATATTCTGGTTAATTGTTACTGCAGGTACTACAGTACAATACTACAGTACTACAGTACAATACTACAGTACAAATACTACAATACTACAGAATAAATACTACAGTACAAATACTACAATACTACAGTATAAATACTATAGTACAATACTACAGTACAAATACTACAATACTACAGTATAAATACTACAGTACAATACTACAGTACAACACTACAGTACAAATACTACAATACTACAGTATAAATACTACAGTACAATACTACAGTACAACACTACAGTACAAATACTACAATACTACAGTATAAATACTACAGTACAATACTACAGTACAACACTACAGTACAAATACTACAATACTACAGTACAATACTATGACACCCAGGTTTCTGGCATAGGGTTTGACAGATGGGGTGAGGTGACCTAAGTTTTGCACTACAGTGCAGCTTGCCTTGGGAGGACCAAAAATTATGTCTTGTCACTATTTTGCTGAAGGAAGTTGTTAGCCATCCAATTTCTGATGTCTTCAAGACAGACCAGAAGAGATTGTATGGAGTCCCTAGATTTTAGAGGCAAGTACAACTGTGAGTCATCCACATAGAGGTGAAAAAAGATGTTATGCTTTCTTAAAACTAGTGCAGTGCCCGTAGGAAGTATGTATTGCTATAGAAAATGGGAGGTTAAGTAGCTTTTTCATGGATGGCCAAATGAGGTTGTGTTTGAAGGTGGGACGTCAGGGACATTTAGGTTTGTTGTGAAATGTGTAGATTGATAACTATTGTGTTTTCATATAATTTGTCTTTAGGCGGCACTAAGATCCAGTAATATGAGGATGGCATTATCACCTGAGTCTAGTGTGAGAAGCAAATCATTAGTTACTTTAAGCAGGGTTGTTTCAGTGCTATGAAGGGGTCTGAAACCTGACTGAAAAGGTTCTAGTAGATTGTGAGTGGTCAGAAAAGGAAAGGAAGCTTGGAGATGGGGTGGTAGTTTTTTAGGCAGTTGGCATCAAGGTTGTGTTTTTTAAGCAACCGCATGCTTAAAACATGTAGGGACAGTGCCAGATGCAAGGCATGAATTTAAAATGATCTGAATGGAGGGGCCAACTGCATCAAAAAAATCCTTTATAATGGAGGAGGGAATAGCATCATGGGGTGATCTAGTAGGTTTCATGTGCGATACTAAGTCCCTCAATTCAGTGAAAGTGATGGGCTGAAATTGGTTAAAAATAGCTGATACACCTGAGCAATCAGGCAGAGTAACAGATGAGGTGGGGGTAAAGAATGAAGAATCTAATGTTTTCAATTTTGTTGGTAAAAAACTTGAGAAGTTTCTCACAGGTATCAGTGGATACATCAGTGGCTGGGGAATTTGGGGGTTAGGGTTTATAGTGCTAAATAAAATTTTGGGTCTGTTTGAGTGTTTACTGATCAGATCAGAGAGATGCTTTGTTCTAGCTTTTTTTGCTGCTGCCTGGAAGGAAGCTAATACAGATTTAAAAATTTCAAAGGAGACAGTGAGATGATCCTTTTTCCATTTCCTTTTAGCTTTACAACAGGCCTGCCTGACAGAGCGTGTGGCCTCATCTAACCAATATTGAGATTTTATTTTGGGGCGGGTGTATGTGAGAGGAGCTACGGAGTCAAGTATGGAAGAGCAAGATGAGTGGAAGAGGGTAACTAATTCATCTGGGCTAGAGGAGGATGATGCCGCTGTTGTAATGGTAGATGCAACAGTTTTACTCAGAAAGCTATCAGAAAACTGAGCTGCAGTAAGAGAGTGTAACGGCCCTGAGTTCTGGCAGTTCGCAGGGGACTGGAGAGGGTAATGTCAAATATAATAGGCTTATGATCAGAGAAAGTGGCATCCTCAATCACAATATTATCAACAGTAAAACCATAAAATAAAATGAGATCAAGTGTATGTCCCAGATTATGAGTAGCATTATCTCTATGTTGTGTAAGGCCAAGGGCATCTATTACACCACAGAATTCGCTAACCATAGGTCTGTCTGGACAGCAGACGTGGATATTGAAGTCACCAAGTATAAGGAGACGATCATGCAGTGACACAAAAACTACAGTACTACAGCACAACACTACAGTATAAATACTACAGTACAATACTACAGTACAGATACTACAGTACAATACTACAATACTACAGTATAAATACTACAGTACTACAGTACTATACTACAGTACTATACTACAGTACAGATACTACAGTACAATACTATTCAATTCAATTCAATTTTATTTGTATAGCGCCAATTCATAACAGAAGTTATCTCAGGACACTTTTCAAATAGAGCATGTCTAGACCAAACTCCTTATAACATTAAGAGAGACCCAACAGTACCACCATGAGCAAGACCTTGGTGACGGGGGAAAGGAAAAACTGCCTGTTAAGAGGCAGAAACCTAGGACAGACCCTTCAGCTCTAGGTGGGTGGTCGTCTGCCTCGACCAGCTGGGGTGAGAGAGAGGGGGGGAGAGAGAGAGACAGACAGTTGCAACAACTACACTAAAAGTGACTGATGATGATGAACATGAAGAAGATGATGACAACGACAACAGCAACGATGGGGGACAATGAGCAGTGACAATAGTAATAATAGTAACTCTCGTAATAATAATATTAATAATAATAATAACACTAATATCAGTGATATTAGCAATGGCAGTCAAGCAGGACCATGGCAGGAGGCTCCACCAGGATCCATGAGAACCTGTGAGACGAGAAAGCACAAGAACTCCGGGGAAGAAGTAAAGTTAGTAACATGCATTAATGGAACATGAATGAGTGCAGAAAGAGAGAGAGAGGAAGAGAGGAGCTCAGTGCACCATGGGAAATCCCCCGATAGTCTAGGCCTATAGCAGCATAACTAAGGGATGGTTCAGGACTCACCTGATCCAGCCCTAACTATAAGCTTTATCAAAGAGGAACGTCTTAAGCCTACTCTTAAATGTGGAGAGGGTGTCTGCCTCCAGAACCACAACTGGAAGCTGGTTCCACAGGAGAGGAGCTTGGTAACTGAAGGCTCTGGCTCCTGTTCTACTTTTAGAGACTATAGGAACCACAAGTAGCCCAGCATTCAGAGAACGTAGTGTTCTAGAGGGGTAATAGGGTACTATGAGCTCTTTAAGATATGAAGGGGCCTGACCATGAAGAGCTTTATAGGTGAGGAGGAGGATTTTAAATTCAATTCTACATTTTACAGGGAGCCAATGCAGAGAAGCTAGTACAGGAGAGATGTGATCTCTTTTTCTAGTTCCTGTCAGTACTCGTGCTGCAGCGTTCTGAATTAATTGGAGCGTTTTAATGGACTTATTGGGGCAACCTGATAATAAAGAGTTGCAGTAATCCAGCCTTGAAGTAGCAAATGCATGGATTAGTTTTTCTGCATCTGTCTGTGATAGGATGTGTCTAATTTTTGTAATATTATGTAAATGAAAGAAGGCAGTCCTAGAGGTCTGCTTTATGTGGGAGTTAAATGACATGTCCTGATCAAAGATAACTCCAAGATTCCTGACAGTGGTGCTAGAGGCCAAGGTAATGCCATCTAGAGTAGCTATATATTTAGACAGTGAGACTCTAAGGTTTTTGGGGCCAAGTACAAGAATTTCATTTTTTTCTGAGTTTACCATCAGAAAATTGCAGCTCATCCAGGATTTTATGTCCTTAAGACTTGTTTGTAATTTAGATAATTGATTAATTAAATCGGGCTTGATCGATAGATATAACTGTGTATCATCTGCATAGCAATGAAAGTTAATGGAGTGATTCCTAATAATGTTGCCTAAAGGGAGCATATATAAATTAAATAGTATTGGTCCAAGTACAGAACCTTGTGGAACTCCATGACTGTAGTATTTATTGAAGATACATCTTTAACATGTACAAACTGCGAACGATCTGATAAATATGACTTAAACCAGCTAAGTGCAGTTCCTTTAATGCCAATTTGATGCTCAAGTCTCTGTAAAAGAATATCATGGTCAATGGTGTCAAATGCAGCACTAAGACCTAATAATACAAGTACAGAGAAAAGTCAAATGTCAGAAGCAATCAAAAGGTCATTATTAACTTTAACCAGAGCTGTCTCTGTGCTGTGATGAACTCTAAATCCTGACTGAAAATCCTCAAATAAACTATTGTTATGTAGAAAGTCACACAACTCTTTGGTGACTACTGTCTCCAGAATCTTAGAGAGGAAGGGGAGGTTAGAAATCGGTCTATAGTTGCCTAAAACCCCTGGGTCAAGAGTGGGCTTTTTAAGAAGGGGTTTAATTACAGCTATTTTAAAGGACTGTGGTACATATCCTGACAATAAAGAAAGATTAATCATATCCAGTAAAGAATTGCCAATTAAGGGTACGACTTCCTTAAGCGGCTTAGTTGGGATCGGGTCTAATAGACAGGTTGATGGCTTCGATGAAGAAATGATTGAAGTTAACTGATGAAGATTGATAGCAGAAAAACATTCTATATACAGTACAAATACTACAGTACAGTACTACAGTACAATACTACAGTACAATACAAATACTACAGTACAATACTATAATACTACAGTACAAATACTACAGTACAATACTACAGTACAATACTACAGTACAAATACTACAGTACTACAATACAAATACTACAATACAAATACTACAGTACAATACTATAGTACAATACTACAATACTACAGTACAAATACTACAGTACCAATACTACAGTTCAATACTACAGTACTACAATACAAATACTACAGTACAATACTACAGTACAATACTACAATACTACAGTACAAATACTACAGTACAATACTACAGTACAATACTACAGTACAAATACTACAGTACAATACTACAGTACAATACTACAGTACAAATACTACAGTACTACAATACAAATACTACAATACAAATACTACAGTACAATACTATAGTACAATACTACAATACTACAGTACAAATACTACAGTACCAATACTACAGTTCAATAC